TATAATATATCACAAATTCAAGCAAATTGACTGAAAACGGTTTTTTCATATGAATCGTGCGTGCTCCTTTTCTTTAGCAAAAATATATCGAGGTATCATCATTTATCATACAGCATAATTTATCGCATCTTTCTAATTTTAATAATTTGGTATAACTACAATTAAAATACAATTAAAATATTATTAAAATATAATTTTTTAAATAAAAATAATCAAAAATAATTATTATTATCTAAACTATTAATTTTTTTAATTAAAATTGCATTAAAGTTCACATAAAATCAGCTTAAAAATATAATTTTGTTATCAATTCTCCTTTCTAAAATTTAATTCGCCGAAGACTTTTTTGTTGGCGACTTTTGGGAATTGTTGTTCAAAAGAAAATTGATTCCAAACTAATTAAAACACTTTATTAAAAGGATTTCCTATCTTTTTTTTCGAAATATTTTAAATATACAAATATATTTATATATAGCTATAAATTTTTAAACATGTACTTTATTAGCATATTTATGCTAATATGTATAATTAGCTTTATATGTTAGAATATTTACGCGTCTAGATGCAGTTTATTACATAAAAGATTTCCCGAATTATTCACTGTACGAAATAGATGATTTGAGCTTTAAATTTTGATAGTTCAAACAGAATGATCGATCTGTTTCAGTGAATCAAAAATTCGATTGTTTGAATAATTCATATATTAAGGAAAAGTTATGAACAAAATTAGTATTCATTGCAGAAAATAAATAGTTCATATTCGTTCAGCTCCTATTCACAATATATTTTCTAACTTTATGCAACATATCATCTAAAGTATAAATAAATAAATAAAGTCAATTCGAATAAATCGAACTGTTCGAATATATCTTCAAACTTGAGCGATCCAAACATTTAAAGATCTGATCTTGAAATTCGGATTGTTCAATTTATTCGATTATTTGAAAATTCTAAATTAATTAATAATGTGTTCGCGTACACATTTCTTTTCTTATCATATATTAGTTATCAACAATATAAGGCGATCAATTAGCAGCCAAGTGACGACTCGATGTAAACCGGATGACAGCTAATCGCGCAGATAATTATAGTCACGTTTAACGTCAGCCCGATTACATGCGACTAACATCACGCCACAAGATGAGCGATAATTACGCGTGTTGCAATTTGGTGTCATATCCGAGGTACTATAAATCCTTTTATCTATAACTAAAATAATTGGGGAAAAATTGAGCAATAGCAAATTTTGAAAAAGAAATAAAACTAACAAACAGAACTATAAGTTTTTACTTTTTTAAAATTTCTTTGCTAAATATTATTTTGTTAATTATTTATTTGCTATAAATATATCACGTAGTTTTTTCTCAAATTTTAACTTGATTTAATCCAGAAATTGCAATTTTTATAAATGTGCTATTTTGGATTCAAATAAGTTGCGACATTTTAATAATGTTTAAAAAATATCTCTATAAAAAAAATAATGACATCAATAATTACGAAGTATCGAGCGATCTAGGGATCTCTATAATTTTTAGAAAACAAAAACTTTTACGAATAAAAACCAACAAATAATAGTGGTATTTTTCAAATAGTTATTTTTTAGAAGAAACACTTTTTTGGAAATAAATTCCCTGTTTTTAAACGGATTTATATCAAAGACAAACACATCATTTAAAACGATCGAGTCATCACTTGATCGACAGTTAGATTTGGTAGATTTACCTTTCCAGCGACCGTCATCTCATCTGTGGATTATGAAGCGTAGATCCTTTTCGCACACAAAAAAAATTGCTCGAACGGGAGCGGCAGTGGCAGTTTGCACTTTTCAATGGCCGGTCGGACAACGACACATTTCCCGCGAATCACCATGCACCCATAACTCACACTGATCACTTATATAATTATATATCACTGATCCCTGAAGATCACGCCATATATTTCGTTTACTCTGCAACGAAATGTAACTGTATGCGAATGCAAAAGCATGAACGCGAAACACATTTGATCGACAGCAACCAACAAGTGAATGGAGAGGCATACCTCCTCTACTACTACTATCACGCATCGACGTTGCTCGCTCTTTCCCCGCGCGTGACCCACAATAGACTTCGCTTGTGATTGTCGCAGCGATCACGTGACTATTCTGGCTAGGGCCGTACGCAGAAATGGGGGCAGTCGCAATTTTGAGACATTGACAAATTTCGAGTATTTTTTTTCAAAATGTCTCTATTCAAATCTTGCAGAAAGAGAGATATATTTTTCTACAATTTTTAATAAATAATTTTTAAACGAGCAAGTGGATCTAAATCAAGTTTTGCACAAATATTTAATAAAGTTTTCTTAATATATGTGAAATTTTTTATTTCATTGACAATGTGTTTTCCTTGTCAAATTTGTCAATAAATGCTACAATACGCGATTTTTTATAAGAATTAATATTAACTTTAAACTTAAATAATTTCTAAACCGTTAAGAGAATTGTGCTCAGGTTTTGCACAGATACTTAGAAGAAATAGTAGAACAGTCTACGAAATTTTCATGCCTTTGTCAATGTTTTGACATATAACACATACATCATTAAGGTTTAAGTGATAGATTTGGAAGCGTATTGAAAAAAAAACTAAATAAGTTTCATAAGATAAACATTTTTCACATGCATAACTATTATTTGCATATTTTCATTTTTTTATCATTAAAAATTATAATAAAGAATATATTGCATATTCAATATTTTGTTAAGACATTGATTTATAAACAGAAATAGAAATATATTTATATTTTAAACACATAATTCATTTGACTTGCCGATTGTTTGTTTACGATATAAGAGCAAAATTATCAAAAACAATTTTTTTTTTAAATTTCCTGAATCTTAATAAAATGCTATAAGAATTCCCTGATTTTTCTAGGTACAAAAGAAATCCTTGAGAATTCTAAGTTTTCCACGTTCCAAAGAGTAGAAATCTTGTTTTTGAATCTCTCAAAGTTGTATATAACATTTATATTATTTCTGTGAGAATTGGATATGCAATGTAGTTACATTTCAAATAACACATTATTAATTTCATAAACGTTTCTTAAACATATCCAATGTTTTTAACCGTCAAACACGTTCATAAAGAAGGTCTCGCGCGAGAGAAATGTTTTTAAAACCATAATTTAAGAGCTCAGTTTACTTTAGCAAGTCTACTTTAGTCTACTTTAGTAGTTGTTTGAAATAAAACAATTCGATCTAATTTTATTCTGTAAAATATTTGTAAGATATTGTGAACCTAATAATTTCACTAAAGAAATATAATAAAGTAATAAAGTAATGTCATTTTAAAATTAGATATTTCAATTTCGCTGAAATTTATTCATTCTTTGAAGATCAGAAATATATTAATTATTAATTTTTAAAATTCTAATTAGCTTCAGTATCCCCAAAAGTATTTTCTTTTATTAAAAAAAAAATTGAAGTTGTTCGTCCATTAGTTTTTAAGATATCCATCACACCAACTTTGAAAATAATATTTTGAGAAAAACGCATTTCAAGTTTTGCAGGTTCATTTCACAAAACCCGCCACTTTATTTAAAGTCTTATAACTCCGTCAATTTTGCAAATTTTTCAACAAAATTCGAAAGATATATTCATTCCAGATAATATACTTTCAGAAAATGTAAAATAAAAAATCAGTTTTTTAGACTCTCTAAAGTAGACTGTGCCTTCATGAAACATATTTTTCACATTTTTACAGACAAAAAAATTTATTTTCTTAATTTAAAATTAATACATAATGAGAAAAAATAGCCCATGTATAATTATATATAAATTTATATATGATTATATATATAAGCATTTTTTATTTCTTCAAATTTTAGTTTTTCTAAAAAAACAATGCAAAAATTATTTTTTAAATTATTTTTCAATTATTCTTATTACTTTTTTTGTATATATAAATAAAGAGAATATAAGAGAAAGAACATAATATATATGGACATATTTTACATATAATTATATATATTCATATTTGATTATAAAGTCTCTCTCTTACCATAAGGCCACCCTCCCCCATCCCTTAATCTTTTAAACTATAAAACCATAACATATATACATAATTTGACATTAATTTAATAATAAAAATATTATGTGAACTAATATTTATTGTACTTCGAGATATTCCCATAACTAAAATTATTCTATAAGTGCTATTAAAAAACTCCAATTATACATTAGCCAATTGTACATTATACTTAACTTAATCCTCTTTTAAATAATTGTATGTAGTGAAAATAATTTTTCTCTTGAACATTTCTTCAAAATTTAACTAGATGTTAATTAAAATATTTAAATGCATAATTTAAAAGAAAAAATCTGAAAGCTAAGATTTTCACTGGTGCAAATTTTTTTCACTGGTATAGCATATGTAATAGCTAGTACATAAACATAGCTAATACATAATATCTATATTATAAACCATAATATCTATATTATATTATCTATATTATAAACTATTTTTTATTTTAATGTTCAGACACTATTTAAAATTGTTATAAAAAACAATTGAGAATAGTAGTAAACTATTATATAAGCATTATAAAAAAAGTTCAAAATTATTTCATCATTTAATATAATTTTTAAATAAAAGCCATTAAAAAATATAATTTTTAATATGCTTGATGTATAAAGAAATTAAATGATAAAACTGTAACAATAATACATATGTAACTTTAGCTAAAAATGCTCCATTTCATTAAAATTTAAATAAAGTAAAAATAAATAATGTTGCGCAGTGTTGCAATCTTCAATGTATAATAGTATATTTACATATACAGAATGTTTCGCATAAAGTGTTACACGATGTTTTTTTCGAAACTTGAGGTCGTACAAAAAAATGTTTCAGACGAAATTTATAGAATTTTGAGACAGAAAAAAGTTAATAATCTTGACTTTTAACTAAGGCCATTTTTCGAGACCATAGAAAAGTCAATCTAACTTTTTTTAAATGGAACCACTTGAATTTTTTTATATAAATCAATTCCTCACAATAATCGGCGTAAAAACTTATCAGAGTAGAATGGCTAAAAATTGAATAATTTATGACATATTTCACAGCTTATGTAAAAAAAATTATATCGAATTAAACTATAAAATATAACCTTGTAACACTTTATGTGAAACATCCTGTCTAGTGTACATATATGTATTGCATTATGGATGCAAAGAGAGAGGCATAACTTGTTCGTTGTCCATGCATTAATTTTTGTGAGAAAAATCTCATTTTGCGTGAAATCGTTGACATATTTAGATAACATTTATTTAATTATATTTAATAAAAACTATGTACGAGCGCAAATTACAACTAATGTGAATCAATATCCTCACCTTTACAATATATATAAAGATCAAGGTTGTCAATAAAATATTTTCTTTTGTAAATAATTATCGAATTTTTTGCCTCTCTAACGCTTTAAAATGGCTTCTATTGTATTCCAAAAGAAAAAATTTTAATGATTTTTCGCTTCTAATAACATAATATGATTGCAATAAAGAAACAGGAGCCTTAATAAAAAGATGGTATTTTTTATACAATTCATGATGGTGGAACCCATCCACCAAACGTTGCTTCAAGTTCTTTGGCCACTGCGAAGCATAGATGATCATTATAAGGAGCTGCTATTACCTTCAATTAAAAAAAAACAAAACATTATACAATTTTCAAGATTCAAAAAATTTTATAATATAATATAATTTTTTTCCAAGAATGACTAAAACAAATATTTTTATGCAAGGAATAAGTTTTAATGATATGCAAAATGTAATGTTACTAACAATAAGTAATAATTAGCGACTATTTTCTATTATGAATAAAACTTTCAGCAAAAATATAGTAGTCAAGTTAATAATCAGATGATCATATGAGATATTTGACTGGATTGTGTAGTGCATTTTAGTAAAATTGTATATATACATATGTATGCACACATACAAAATCTAACAATAAAGTTCACAAACTCTATTTTATTGCTGAATACAAAACTTTATATATACTACAAAGAACTCTGGCGTTTTAATCTGAGGGAGATAGATACCTCCATTGTCTTTTTCAGTACAATATGATCAATTGGAAGATTTATCTTATATAATGTTCTATAGAAAGATATATGCTTACTTATAACATTCGCTAAACTTTTGGCGACGCTTATACAAAGTTTGCAATGTGCTTAAAGAACAGATAGGCCTAAAAAAACATACACATACACGCATGTTCTCAATTATATGGAAGAACTACTTCCAGTATATATAAAATTCTATCAAAAAAAATATTGCTAGACTTCATTTTTGTCTTTTTTAAAATAGTCCCATTGGAGTGTTATATACAGGGTGTCCCATGACTCGAGGTCCATACATTAAGGACGTGTTATTGAAGCTATTTAGAGTTGAAATTGTTTAATAAACATATGTCTGTAAATGCTTCCTAACAGAATTACAATCATTGAAAGTTGATGTGAATATTTGAAAAAGGAAAGAAAAAAGACATTTAATTTAATTTGTCTGACCTAACTGACAACCAGACTGACAGAAAATGTTTCAATGGTTGTAGTTCTGTTAGGAAGCATTTACGGACATATGTTTATTAAACAACTCTAAATAACTTCAATAACACGTCCTTAATGTATGGATCTCGAGTCATAGGACACCCTGTATTTATGTCAGCGTTCTATTCTTTAAAACAATTCTGAAACAGATTTTAGAGCTGTTGTTGTATTGTTCTTAATATCATCAACAACGAAATATATTTATATTAATCTTGATTGCACATTACTAATCAGACACGACATTATTTCCCTATTAAACACAGTCTTACAGATCAAACATATTTTCGATCAGATACATATGTTTGCAATGAGACAACGTTTTGATCAGACACAATACCCAATAAGCAAAATGCCAGCAATGCCTACAATATGCCAGCAAATTAACAACAGATTTACTCAAAATTTAAGCTAGCAAATTAACAAGCTCTGTTAAAGTTCTGCTGACAATCTCTCTCTGTCAATAATCGAAATTAACTCTTATAACTGTCATATGTAAATTATTTAATCGATTTTTTTTCTAAATATTTTAAATAATTAATTATTTTATTTGAATAAGACATTATTAATCTAATATTAATATAAATCTAATATTAACAATTACTATAGAATGATATTAATTTCTCAATAACAACTTATTGCTGCTAATATAGAAAAAAAATTTGTTTATTGCTATAATGTACTAGTGTACTAGTGTACTAGTGTCAACATATAAAAAATGACAAACCAAGATTATCTATGCTTCAAAAGTCAAAATCACTTGTAAAAAAAATTTGCATTTAGAATATACTACTAATATATTAAAATATTATAGTGATAGTGAAATACCTTGTGTGTAAAAACAAAAGTTACAACACATTTAACAATAAAAATATGGAACTTAAATATAAACTTATAAATATCAACATAAATATGAACTTTGGAGATTTTATGTAATAATAAAATAATTTTTAATACTGACCTGAATACCGATTGGCAAACCTTGTTCGTCCAGGCCCAGAGGCACTTGACAAGCTGGGAATCGCAAAACATTAAATAGACACCAATAGCCAAAATTGAAGGGTCTTAAGTATGTGGAATAATGATAACTGGCAGGAAATGGAGCCGAAGGATAAAATAGTACTCCATTATCATCCAATTTCTCCTGAAAAGAGTTTCCATGATAAACATATAATTATACATATAGAATTTAATATAAAGATTGAACAAGAAAATATATTATTTAGTTTTTAAACTTTTTCTTTCTATATCTTAAATATTAATTTATTATATATAATTTTTATATATTCATGTGATATATTTCTCTTTTCAATACAATTTACCATCAAGAACTGTTTCATTTTTGCAGTGACGCGTTTTGCCCATTCACTATTCTCCTGAGGTAAAAAATCCTCATCTATCAATTTAATGATAGCGGCCAATGTCAATTGTGAGTTTCCAGTAAGTAGGTTAAAAATTTCTTTTTTTGCACTAGTGACATACTGCAAAGTGTGAATATTTTTGAACCGAGAATTAAAAAATATTCATTTTAAAATGTAAATGATTCACTGTGAGAAATGGAATGTAATTTAAATACTGCTAATTAGTATAAACATAATTCTATTGTCTCTTGAAGCATATAACTCACAAAACTTTGAAATAAAATTTTTACATTCACCTTTTGATCTGTTATATTCAATTTAAAATTAACATTTTCGCGAGTCATCCAATATCTCCACAGTTTGTAGCTATACTCAGAGCCTGGTATTTTAATCTGTAATATATAAATATAATGTGGTTTTTCTATACATATACAAATTTGAGAAATCTACTAAATATTTAAAAACAAGAACAACTTTAAAAAATTAATGTGTAAAATATAAATGAACTTTTATAATGCAAATATAAAAAATGCATTGTTTTCTGATTACTTTATGGAATCATATAATAAGATCTATAGATTTCTACCTTTGTAGCAGAACCTGTGAGTTCTCTGAAATGTTGTACCACTTTAATTAATGTTGCTTGCATAGTCCTGTTGATTTTGCTTGCTCTTAAATCGCCGGAACTCTCTTGGTAGAATACTTTTAGATTCTGCACATTCACTGGCTCATCCAGTTTTAATCTATGTACATTAGGACTGATTAATACCTTTAATAAGGGTGCTAGATCTTCAGCCTTCTTACAGAGTGGCCCGGCTGCTACCATAGTGTCTGGATAATCATTCTCACGCAATCCAATTCCTGCTACTGGCGTCAATCCTGACAACAATAATATCCAAATAAGCTACTATTATTAGTAATTTTAAAAAATTTATTTTTTAATGAGTAGTATAATATAATCACAATATTTCAGATATTCAAAATATTATCTTTAAATATTATAGTGTCTGTAATAACATTAACCTTCACTAGGCTTGTGGCCGAATAATCCGTTAAAGAACGCAGGCATCCTTGTAGAACCTCCTATATCACTACAGATGGAAAATGGAGCACCGCATGCTGCTACTATAGCTCCCTCCCCACCACTGCTGCCTCCTACTGTTCTAGTAATATCGTAAGGATTATTTGTCTGTCCATATAGATTATTCCTCGTTTCTATCCATAAATTGAGCTCAGGAACATTGGTCTTTGCAATCAAAATTCCACCAGCCTCTTTGAGGAAACGAACTGTCGTGGCATCATCCTCAGAACGACAATTACGGCGGCAGAGCAAGCCCATGGAATGGATTAATCCTAATAAAATAATTAACAATTGCTGTAATTAATGTCAAATTTAATTATTAATATTCAAAACAATTAAACTATATCTGTTTTCTATTATAAAAAATAATTTATCCATATTTTTAATTTTTTAGATTTTTCTTGAATAATTTTAGAAAACAGGAATTTAAAATAATTCTTTATGGTGTTATTTTGCTTACCTTTAGCACGATTGCTTTCTTTTGTAGTAAAAGGAACTCCAAAAAATGGCAATGTTATCTTTATTTTTTCAAAATCTGTACATTTTTCTATCATGGCATCCACTCCTTTGGCCTCTTTAATTGCATCTGAGTATCTATCCTCTACAACTGCGTTTATCAAGCTATTCACTTCTTTGCATCTTTCAATATAAGCCCTTACAATTTCCTCTGATGTAACTTTTTTTGTCCTAAAATAAAGCATGTATAACTGTATGTATGTATGTGTATATGTATATATATATATTATTTTGCTCACAAAGCTTAAGCTCCTTAAAGCAAGCAAATTTTTCAATTTTGACTTATAGAGAAAGCAAATTGAATACCAAAATTATCCTTTAATAATACTCCATCCATGTAAAAAGATTTAACCTGATATCTCAAAATTTGCGAAAGTTACAATGTGTAGACATTTCTCAAAATATTAAAAATTTTATAAAAAATGAGACTTTTCATCGATTCTCACCAAATTTAATACCAACCATCCTTTAATGATACTCTATCCATGTAAAAAAAATTTAGCCCAATGTCTCAAAACTTGTGGAAGTTAGAGGTTGTACAATATATTGCGTACACACATACACCCATACATACATACATACATACATACATACATACAGACATTTTTTAGAAATATAATTTTTCGATGTTTTAGAAACACATTGGCATAGAAAATCCGAAAAAAAATTTTGTCATTAAAACAAAGCTTCCTCTATGAGGAAGCAAAAGAAGAAAAGTTTCATCGGTTCTTAATATCACTGTTGTACCACATTATGTATGTAATAAAAAAAAAATGTAATAATATGTAATAAAAAGTATATAATAATATGTAATAAAAAGTATGTAATAACACCACATTAATACCACGTATACCAAATTTGAATAAAATATCTGTAAATGTTTTTCACATTTTCGAAATTTTTATTTTTTTTGCACAACTTTAACACCCTGTAATTTGAAAACAAAACAGTTTAGGATACATGTTTATAGGACCTTTTCTTCTTAAAATAAGCCAAGGAACGTCCCCTTCAAGTTTGTGTACTTAGTGTAACGTAACTAATAAAGGCTCTTATGAATATATCATACGAAGAAAATAAAAGGCAATTTGTGTACTTACTTATAGGAAACACCCTGTATATATGATTAAACATACACATTATAATTCAATCTCGATAAAGCTATATATGCATATTTAAAGATTAATAATAATAATTAAACCTGATTTTCTCTGCTAAAGAGATAGCACTTTCTAACAACAGACTGTTCTTTATTGCTGGCACCTTCTTTACTTTCCGATTGTAATAAATGCCGAAAACAAAGTCCACAATATAATCAAAAAAAAAATGTAGCTGTATGATTATATATTGCAAGATATCACAGCACAACATTTTGAGACATTGTAATATATCTTCGCATTGTGGGGAATCCTATATATAAACATATAAATAGTATATTAATAAAAACATGCATATACTTCTATACCATTATATATTAATCATTTGTACACATATATTTATATTTTACTTCAAAATAATGTATAATATATTTTTATAAACTTATAGTGAAAAATAATTATCAGCATTATTTTGTTATAAGCAGAGAAAAAATACAATTGTATTCAAAATTTAAAATAATATAGAAATGTCCTTTAAAAATCAAATGAAGCATTGTTTAAGTAATTTAAAAGATTGAAAAAACAAGATAAATAAAAAATTTATTTCATAATTAAGATAAAACAAACAAAAATGTAAATTTTTAATTTTTGTAAAGTTAATTTTTTTAGACGACATAAAAATGGTTCAAATACAAATATTAAAAATAATTATTGATGTATAATGTATTAATTAAATTTATTACATGATTATTAATGTATAATGACAATAGAAATTTTTAATTTACCTTATTTTTTACAGAGGTGCACATTATTTTATGAAAGACAAAAATATTGATGTCAATAAAATTTACTTTTAAAAATTTTTCCCAGTATTCTTTATTTTACTTTATAAATACAAAAATTTAAATTATTCTAACCACACTTTAATCAATTTCTGACACATTATCAAATTAATGGAATTATTTTATTAATAGCCGTCATTAAAACATATGTAGCAAATTCAACAGATAAGAATTGCAAAATCACTGAGTGTCACTGACTACGTTTACACATCACCCCTAGGTGCCGGTCTACAATAGATGATTTAAGCTCTAAGCCTTAAGAAATTGACTAATCAAACTGCATAATTATATAAAGAATTTCTTTAAAAAAGTTTCATGAAGTAATATGACTTCTTCGATGTAAAATACGGAATAAGCGGATCTCACTAGATGTGTATCTAAGGAGCAGCTCATGGGGAAATTTCCGTGGTAACATACTGACTGCTTGACAAAGAGAGATGATTGCGCCGTCTTTGTCTCTCTTTCATCGTGTATGTGTGTAGTATCCGTGAAGGCACAAACACCGATACGTTGAGCACACGGATGCGATCGTTGAGAGATAAATCTAGACAAGGAAGCGACAATCGCGTGCTGTCCTTGTTCTTCTAACGTATCGCTTTACGGTCGAGATACAACCTGAAAATGCTTTCTGACCTCTCGTGGCAGAAAGCAGTAATGCAACAAGACTAACGGGCGCCTATTTTTTGAGAATTTTATATTTGTATATATACATATGTGCATATATATGTTTAAATTATAGTTAAAATTATACGTGCAATTAAATATTGTATGATGATCAATAATAATATAGATAACAGAGTGAATAAATATACAATATGTAAGACACGGTTGCCTGTTAGGGTGCCATTACATGGAGCGCGGAAACGCGGAAACGCGGAAGAGAATTGTAACTAGAAAAGTAACTATTCCGCGTTTCCGCGAATTGAGTCGTTTCTTTCCGCACATTTGAGCGGAATCCGCGGAATCCGTTACCGTCTCAACAAAACTCAACAAAAGTGTATAGAAAATATAAAAACTTTATAAATGGATGGTCCTGTAAGTATTTGAATGCTTTTTAGTACTTAATAAACATAGTAGCTTGTTATTTTTGGAGACATTCTGAGATAGTTGAAATATTTTTCAGGATCTCCCAATTGCATCTCCACAAGTAGATTGTCGCTGTCACCTTGAAGAAGTCTTCTTGTCTCAGTAAAAATAGCCGTACCCATATTTTACGGTTCTTTCTGCCTTGCAGTTTCTTCCCAGTGAGTATTATTGAGAGGATGAGCTCTTTAAGAGGACTTTTTAAAGACTTAATTAAATTTTTTTAGAAATGATATCAGTAAGTTATCTTTTTGTAAGATATCTTTCAGTAATGGTAACCTTGAAATACGAAATTTACCTAAAGATGTTCGAACACTTATGAATACACCAAAAGAAACTAAATATAAAATTAAACAAGATGGGAACATATTTCCGAGAATTGTAATATTCCTAAATCGGAATTTCTTATTGCAGTCAGAATGATTTTAGACTCTACCTTTTTTACATTCAATGGGATATTTTATAAACAAACTTTCGGTACGCCCATGGGTTCCCCTCTTTCTCCTATTATTGCGGACATCGTGCTACAAGATCTTAAAACACGGGCCCTTGAATCTCTTAAGTTTACTCCCCCGTTTTATGTCAGATATGTCGACGATGTCGCTCTTGCGGTTCCCGCTTCCTCTCTTAACCACACCCTACAGACTTTTAATTCTTTCCACCCGAGATTACAAGTTACTGTTGAGATTGGAGAGAAGAATAGACTGAATTTTTTGGACATCACCATGATCGTTGAGGGTGACTGCTTGATTTTCGACTGGTACCGTAAGCCTACGTTTTCCGGTAGATATTTGCATTTCCGTTCTAACCATCCCCTCTGTCAAAAAAGGGGCACCATAATTGGTCTTATCGACAGGGTCTTTTTGTTATCACACCCTCGCTTTCACCAAGATAATTTTAAATTGATCATCGAAATATTGTTGGATAACGGCTATCCAATAAATTTTATTTTCCGTGTTTTACATGAACGCCTAAAACATCTGCTTCACAGGACTAGTTATAATTCGGAAAATACTACACGAGAAAGAGAGAATGTTTTATTTTTTACAATTCCGTATGTTCCTGTGATATCTGAACAATTTAAAAAAATCACGGGTGACTTAAACGTTAGGCTATCTTATCAGAGTCTTAATAAATTGAATTCTCTGATAAAAGTACATAAAGACCCTTGTCCTTTGATGGCCCGTCAAAATGTCATATACAAAATTGACTGTAATGATTGTGATGCCTCTTATGTTGGTCAGACAAAACGACAATTAAATACACGTATTACAGAGCATAAAAATCATATCAGGAGAAATACGAGCAACCACTCAGTGATTACCGAACATAGAATAAATTTCAACCATAATTTTGATTGGGATGGGGTCAGAATCTTAGACACCAAACCTCAATTACGCAGGCAATTAATTTCTGAAATTCTATACATAAAAAGGCAGAAGAACGGCTTGAATTTGCAGATAGACACGGAAACTCTTCCCGATATGTATCTTGCGGTGCTTGATAAGCTTTCCAAGATTTGATTTTGGCTTTTATTTAATTTAATGACATAATTTAGTGACAAATCCTTTGTATATTAATTTTATATTTTTAACGTATTTCCTTTATTATTTTTATTTGCGTCATTGTTTACCAATTTTACATTTGTGTTATTTGTATCTTGTTATTTTACATTTTATTTTTTACTTTGACTTTATTATTTCGACTTTTATTATCATGACATACATTGTTTTTTAATTTTCTTCATCACAGTTATTGTTTTTTGATCAGTTTCTTGTCACCTTATTATGTCTGATCGTTGTCATTTCGCAGCCGAATAGCTAGTGAGTTAGTCTTACGAATTATACATTAATCTTAACGAAAGAAAGAAAGAGATAGCAGATTGTATGTCTGCGCTCGTCTACTGTCCGAAGCTAGCCGAGCGCCAAGCGCACACGTACACGGCTTTTTTCTTGTGTGCGTTATCCCTTCCCACGCTACGGCAACGGACAGAATCTCAAAACTGGCATCCCTGCTGAGAACCTTTATCTTCTTTCCATTTGACCCAAACAAATAAAGGTGACACAGCACATAGCACCATCGACATATAGGCCGTGTTCCGATATTCATAGCGTTTATTGAATGAACGGGTTAATCCAAACCCGACCAATTAATCACTATGTTTTAATATGAATTCAAGTCTTTCATTGGCAGAGACGATGCAATGATGTCATTAATTTGTTGGTCTAGAAGTAAGAATCAATCACGTTCGATTGTTACTCAACGGTTGTGTCTCTTGAACGCACCCATTAAAGCACGTATCAGACTATGCATTGAGATTGAAATTTGACCAATCAGGACAAGAAAATTTTAGTTTCTTTTATCCTGATTGGTCAAATTTCAATCTTCAATACGTAGTCTGATACGGGCTTAAAGCCCGTATAAGGCCGAAATTACATTTGTCGTACGGCAAACAGACTACGCATTGAAGATTGAGATACAAGATTCAAGATTGAAATTTGATTAATCAGGATAAAGAAATTTTAGTTCCTTTTGTTCTGATTAGTTAAATTCCAATCTTTAATCTTCAATCTTCAATTTTCAATGCGTAGTCTGATACGGGCTTTATGGCTTCTGCACACAGGACGCGATTACGCTTGCCGCGCGGCAAAAGGCGACGCGGTAGCCAATCCATTTTTCGCTTTAATGGAAAAGTTGTAAGTTGATTGGCTACCGCGTCGCCTTTTGCCGCGGGTTTCCGGGTCCTGTGTGCAGAAGCCATTACTTGTTCCAATCTGAGAGTCGATTGTGTATCCTACAGTCCTATATAATCAGAGAAGTGACAATGGCGTTCCGCTTGCTGATTGGCTGACCGTCACCAGAGAGAAGATATAATAGAAGGCGGGAGCCATAGGTAATCATATAAGTGGAAACATCAGACGATTTGAAAGAGATAGAATCAAGTGACCTGGCTGTCATTGTCTATTCGCGCATGCGCAGTTTTTGATATTTAGCATCAGCAGAGCGGACTTGGAGAGTTGGAGAGGACAGAAGAGAGAGTGTTGACAGAAAACCTTGGAGATAATTAAAATCTCTCTAGAGATATACAGTAAAGATTTTTGTCAACAAAATTGTGAGGATAAATTAAAGTATAGAAAAAGCAGTGTAGCTGTACAATGTGGTTCGAATATGCATAATATGCAGAAAAGAACGAGATCCATTTAATTTAGATCGCAGTTTTTATAGGTTAGTTTATTTCAGTATTGTTTTTATAAACTTTTTGAAAAAAAAGGTTAAATAAATAGTAATTTATTGAAGTATTTTTATAATAGTAATTACCCATACAGCACAAAACATTGCGGCAATATTAAATTTGGTGCTGCAACGTTGCAACAATATTATTGCTGCAATGTTTTGTGCTGTATGGGTACATTTAGGCCGGTATTCATAGTCAGTTCTTATTTCAAGACCGTCTTAAGTAATGTTGTCTTAAGATGCTAATACGGTTCTGTGATTGGTTTAGGACATCTTAAGATTGTGCTTAAGTGCTGATCTACAATAGGTGATTTAAGCCCTAAGCCTTAAGAAATTGACCAATCACAGTCGAGTATTCTCCTCATACTTGATTGTGATTGGTCAATTTCTTAAGGCTTAAATCACCTATTGTAGACTGGCACTAAGACGGCTATCTTAAATATAAGAACTGACTATGAATACCGGCCTTAAATTGTATTTTTGAAGGTTCTTCCTTAGACGAAACTATTGAACGAATAAGAATGCGAAACAATAAGATGACAATATTTACTGGGCAATAAATATATACCAAGTATATAAATATGAAACCGGAATTTGCCCATAGATGGCCCTAGCTGTCAATGTTGTTACCGTCAAACCGCCTCATTGGCGCCATTATAATGTAATAAACAAAATTTTTGTGATTTCTTTAAAGATTAAAATACATCGAAATTGATAATTTGATCATTACCCAGAGAGAAATGTGAAGTCTAATAGATGTATAGTCGACGTCTATTCGACACGTCTAAAGCCCGTGTCACACTACGCATTGCGGACGCGGATCGGATTTGGATTACGGACTGCGAATCGTCAATCATCCAATCAGATCCTTGGCTACTGATTGGATCTGCTACTTGCTCTG